TGTATTTATGTCTTACAGGATCTGTCGCATGTATGTCTTGGGCAAGTCCAAGTATGTATCAAGGGACAACGAGCATAGAATGTTTTCATTTTGTTAAGCCGGAAAAAAAAATTATTCACTTTAAAAATTGTTTTTATTTTATTTCTAAGTCTTATGATATCTTTTTCTTACTTACAATGGTGTTGTTTTCAAATGAAAGTATTCTGGGATTTCATCTTCTAATCAAATAGACTGAAAAAATATGCTCAACAAAATAAGCGTTCTTTAGCACGTTGCTAGAAAATATTGGGAAGCATAAATGTTTACACTGGTCCGTGTAAGCTGCAACACTCTTCTCTATGTAATTGATAACACAATGATTTTTGTTAGCTTATTGCTTTGTTTAGTTAAAAACGAGCTTCACTGGACTTATGCCTTAACAATTACTTATGTATGATTTTTTAAATTTCAGGAAAGCTCAATTAATATAAATATGGATGGCATGTAAGAGCGATATCAACTGATCCTTCTCTTCTGAAATGTTTCGAAATTAGAAGGTTACTGAGTTGAACATTAGTTGTCGTAAACCCGAAATTGGGTCTGCTGTTCAAAGACGGTTATTTAAAAGAAAAAAAAAACATCCTCATCCGGCTTGCTCGGCACCACAATGCTGACGTGAAATATCCTCAGTGGTAGAAGGATTATGGGTCGGAGTCCCCTTGCCTTCAGACAATCTGTGGGGGGAGGGGTCATCCTCTCCGTGTAACTCAAACGCAAGTTAGTTCCATAAAAAAAGTCCTCCCCGAAGGCAAATTTCTCCTCAATAGTTGATCCGGGAGTTCCCTTGTCTTCTGGATTTGGTTCGAAATTACAAGGCTACAGAGTTGAACATTAGTAGTCGTAAATCCAAAAATTGCGTCGTCTGCTCAAAGACGGTTATAAAATAAAATAAAACTTAAAAAAAGGCAATGGTTCTGGAAATAGATCGTTCGCCCTACAATGAGGTGAAACGGGTTCGAATCCCAGCTATGCCTGATCGATACGAATTCCACACCCAGCTTGCACCGATCACTGTGCTGACGAATATTTTCGATTTTAGAGATGGTTGTTGCAGATGGAAATGGTAGAATGGTTATTGCAGATAAACACTTAAAACTGTTAAATAAATTAATAAATGTTCTGTGAAAATCACATTTTAATTAAATTTATACTTAATAAATACATTTTCCAATGAAAATTCCTGAATTTGGCTTTTAGTTAAAACTGTACAATTCAAATAATCCTGAAGGTTATTCAATTTTCTTCTTTTAAAATAGACAAAAACAAGCATTCAAAAGCGAATTCTAACAGCTTACTATAGTTTATTTTATGTAAGTAAATGAATCTAACAAGTTATAAATAAATGAATATTTACCGCACATAAGAGAACTCCACTTCCCGGCTGCCAGTTGTATCTTTTGCAATTTATTATCCATTTCTTCTTTCTTTTCAAATTTGAAAGAAATCTGAACATTCGAAAGTCTTTTTCTTTAACTGTTTGTATAATTTACCGCCTCACAACCATCCATATCAACAATTTTAGCAGGCGTGAATTTTAAATACCGAAAATCAAATAAAATAAATTTGAAAGTGAAACAAAAGATTGACAAGCATTTTAGATCCAATTTCAACATATTCTCAAGGATAAGGAAATTGATAATGAAGGCAAATTTCATTAATTTTACCAAGAAAAAGTTGTTGAAATTAGAGCTAGAAATATTTTAGAAAGTTTTCAACCACAGCAGAAAATTATGATAAAACAATTAAAATATCATGACTATTCACTATAGGTCAATTAATCAGAAAAAAAATGACTAACTCCCCTAAACTGTATTAAGTATCTGGAAGACGCAGAGAATGCAAGAAGGCTTAGGTATTTGTGCAAAAATTAGAGAGGGAAATTTTTGAGAGGCAATAAAAAGTATAAAAGATAATAAATATTTAATGTTCTGCTTTTTGTTATCTGACAATTAATAAAACCATTCAGTAAACTTATTTAAACATTGGGTGTAATATTTAAGCAGCAATAAACAAGTAATAATGTTTAATAATTGTAATGCAACAATTGGCATTACATGCTTATTTTCTATCCTTTTAAAATATCTTTCACTACTTAAGCTGATTTTTATTAATAGAATTATATTTAAAATAAATCAAAGACTTAATCTTTTAAAAACGAACGTAAAATATTTATTCTTCTCTTTTAGATCAATGTAACTGATACTTTTTATTGCATTACTAATGCAGACTTATTAATTCACTGTCGCCTCTAATTGAAAACAAAAATCTATTAATAACTTTTTTTTCGAAATTTCTAACCGCTAAATGTTTCGGTTGCGTGGTTGTAATAATTCTCATAATTCTTTGTTGGCGACTCGTGATCGCCAAGGTGTTCTTTTAAACCCAATATTGATATGCTGGTTGGCTTTGTTTTGGCTATGTTATATTTTGGTAATACCCCAATTTTGGATCTCCTACCCATGCTTTCGATGTCCGTTAGGAATAATTATTTTCACTTTTAATTTCAAATTTGTTGAGTGCCCTTAGGGGCATCCCCAGTCTCAATTTCTAACCGTCAGAAATGAGATTCTGGCTGTATGATCTCTCAATAATGAGAGGGTATTCTGATTTCATCCCTTTAAGGGATTTCCTTTTTGGATGAAGAAATGGCAATTCTGTATCACCAATCATGATTAAAAAAAATCTAAATTTTGCTAAACAATATGTATATACTCTCTCCAGGAGACTGTATAAAGTTATTTTCCACTATACGAATATTAGCGGCTACTGACGGAGAACAAACCTCCGCCATAATAATTATACTCAACATTATTNATTGGGTTCAAAATTACAAGGCTACAGAGTTGAACATTAGTAGTCGTACATCCAAAAATTGCGTCGTCTGTTCAACGACGGTTATAAAATAAAATAAAACTTAAAACAAGGCAATGGTTCTGGAAATAGATCGTTCGCCCTACAATGAGGTGAAACGGGTTCGAATCCCAGCTATGCCTGATCGATACGAATTCCACACCCAGCTTGCACCGATCACTGTGCTGACGAATATTTTCGATTTTAGAGATGGTTGTTGCAGATGGAAATGGTAGAATGGTTATTGCAGATAAACACTTAAAACTGTTAAATAAATTAATAAATGTTCTGTGAAAATCACATTTTAATTAAATTTATACTTAATAAATACATTTTCCAATGAAAATTCCTGAATTTGGCTTTTAGTTAAAACTGTACAATTCAAATAATCCTGAAGGTTATTCAATTTTCTTCTTTTAAAATAGACAAAAACAAGCATTCAAAAGCGAATTCTAACAGCTTACTATAGTTTATTTTATGTAAGTAAATGAATCTAACAAGTTATAAATAAATGAATATTTACCGCACATAAGAGAACTCCACTTCCAGGCTGCCAGTTGTATCTTTTGCAATTTATTATCCATTTCTTCTTTCTTTTCAAATTTGAAAGAAATCTGAACATTCGAAAGTCTTTTTCTTTAACTGTTTGTATAATTTACCGCCTCACAACCATCCATATCAACAATTTTAGCAGGCGTGAATTTTAAATACCGAAAATCAAATAAAATAAATTTGAAAGTGAAACAAAAGATTGACAAGCATTTTAGATCCAATTTCAACATATTCTCAAGGATAAGGAAATTGATAATGAAGGCAAATTTCATTAATTTTACCAAGAAAAAGTTGTTGAAATTAGAGCTAGAAATATTTTAGAAAGTTTTCAACCACAGCAGAAAATTATGATAAAACAATTAAAATATCATGACTATTCACTATAGGTCAATTAATCAGAAAAAAAATGACTAACTCCCCTAAACTGTATTAAGTATCTGGAAGACGCAGAGAATGCAAGAAGGCTTAGGTATTTGTGCAAAAATTAGAGAGGGAAATTTTTGAGAGGCAATAAAAAGTATAAAAGATAATAAATATTTAATGTTCTGCTTTTTGTTATCTGACAATTAATAAAACCATTCAGTAAACTTATTTAAACATTGGGTGTAATATTTAAGCAGCAATAAACAAGTAATAATGTTTAATAATTGTAATGCAACAATTGGCATTACATGCTTATTTTCTATCCTTTTAAAATATCTTTCACTACTTAAGCTGATTTTTATTAATAGAATTATATTTAAAATAAATCAAAGACTTAATCTTTTAAAAACGAACGTAAAATATTTATTCTTCTCTTTTAGATCAATGTAACTGATACTTTTTATTTCATTACTAATGCAGACTTATTAATTCGCTGTCGCCTCTAATTGAAAACAGAAATCTATTAATAACTTTTTTTTTCTAAATTTCTAAACGCTAAATGTTTCGGTTGCGTGGTTGTAATAATTCTCATAATTCTTTGTTGGCGACTCGTGATCGCCAAGGTGTTCTTTTAAACCCAATATTGATATGCTGGTTGGCTTTCTTTTGGCTATGTTATATTTTGATAATACCCCAATTTTGGATCTCCAACCCATGCTTTCGATGTCCGTTAGGAATAATTATTTTCACTTTTAATTTCAAATTTGTGGAGACTGGGAGTGCCCTTAGGGGCATCCCCAGTCTCAATTTCTAACCGTCAGAAATGAGATTCTGGCTGTATGATCTCTCAATAATGAGAGGGTATTCTGATTTCATCCCTTTAAGGGATTTCTTTTTTGGATGAAGAAATGGCCATTTTGTATCACCAATCATGATTAAAAAAAATCAAAATTTCTCTAAACAATATGTACATATTCTTTTCTGGAGACTGTATAAAGTTATTTTCCACTATACGAATATTAGCGGCTACTGACGGAGAACAAACCTCCGCCATAATAATTATACTCAACATTATTCTTAAAATATTAATATTACTGATTTTTGTGACATTGAATTTTGAACTATTTATATTACTGCTTTTCATAAAATAAACTAAAATTTATGTAAAATACTTTGTGTTATTTTAATTTAGATTCTTCCCCTTTTTGAGAAAGCGGAGCAGAAAAGATAAAATGTCGTTTCAGAAATTCTCATCAAAATTACTCCAAAATTCAATGATAACGGGCATTCCGAAGATTGTGTCTGCAAACAGCCTTCATTTGAAAGTATTGCGCACTTTGTTTTTCTTTGTTTGCGTAGTTGGATTTGTTCTCCAGACTTGGGAGTTTATGCAACTCTATAGGCGATATGAAACTGTTGAGAGTGTTACAGTCAGAAACACTGATAAGTTTGAGCTACCGTCTTTCACCGTATGTAATGATTATGGGTAAGAAAATCATTTAGTTTAATTTAATTTCATTATTGCTAAAGAAAGAAATATCTTAATATAAAATATTATGGTATATAATAAATTTCATTTTGAAGTCAAATTAGTTTGTATCACCAAATGTGAAATAACCACCATAAACGGGATTGCTAAGCAAGGGCGCCGGTAGAATAATATAAAAGGGGGTGCAACCCTCTAACAAACTACCCTCCCATCCCCCCGAAAGAAAAATTAAAATATTCTGCTATTACATTTTGTTTTGTTATTATGTATACTTTCATCTGTTCATTTTTTCAAGATACATTTCTTCATTGTTAGCAAGATATTTAAAAAAAAGTACGAATTTCTTGTACTTGCAAATTTTGCCCAGAGGCGATCGCGCTGGCATAGCTACTGACTTTGAAACACAAATAACTACAAACAGTAGTTTCGTATACTAACGTGTTTGTGCACGCTTAACATTGGTATTTATTGTGTTGATGAAGTTTTACAGTTGCGAGAAGTCAGTTTGTGTTATACACCTTTGTTAAACTGAATAACTAATAGAAAATATAATATTATTTACATTTTATTAAATGAAATTTAAAAATATAGCTTAGATATCTGCCAAGTTTGTGAATGCTCAGTGTGCATAAGAAAAGAATCAAAGATGACTCAGAATTCATTGAAAAAGTTATAAACAGATTTGGACAGCAAACAAGACGATTACAATTCTTGTTTGATTAAACAATTTTTTAATTGCTATGTATCAATGATTACTTAATTATTTGTTTTTCCATAAAAATATGTTCAATAAAAAAATTTTATAATTTTTTTTTCTGTATCTCTTTAATTGTTGAAAAAAAAGAGCCAGGGGGTGCAAGTGCACCCCCTTGCACCCCGCAGCCGGCGCCCTTGTTGCTAAGCGATTCCTTTTCCTCAATCCTCCTGAATTAGTTTCCGACAACCACCATCTTTCGTTAACAGCCGTCAAGCACCATCTGTTAACGCCTGTAACGGGAAATCACTTTAATTATCAAGTATTGTCAATTATCAAGTTCTAGTTTTATTCAACCTCCGGATTGTTTACTTCTAAGAAATATTAACAATTTAAACATTGCAACATTCGAGTACCAGCCTGTGACGAGCTTCATGTTGTTTTTCCAAGGTTCAGTCGTAATATGGAATAACCCTCTTTTGCGTGTAAATATGCTATTTTCATAACTTTTGTGAATTTGTAATAGTTATACGTGATTACTATCAACTGTTGAGAGATTCGGTAATAACAACTTAGAGATTTTTTGTTTCAACAATCAAAACGTTACTACAGCGTTGCTTTATATAGGCTCATAAAAATTTGCGAAAATTGAGAATTATGCATCGACTTACATAATTTTCAAGTAAGTAGAAAAATCTTGCCTATTTTGCAATTTTTAAAAATATCTAATAGCTTCTGAAATATTTAAGTCATTTAATCGTTCTAAAGCCCAGATAATTTTTTACGGTAAAATGATTGATGTATTTTAAAATAATAACTTTGCATCAAATGCAAGGCACTTAAACTGTGGCATTTTCTTTATTTTCTTTGGCAAAACAACTTCAAAAAACACTTCAGAGTGAAAAGAAAACTGTTGAAGAACTGTAACCTCATTAATTTGAAAGAGTTTTCTTCTACATCCACCTGCAATTACAATATTGAATGTTGAGTTTGAATTTAAGATGTCTATACGCAGAAAATGCATGCGTTCTTTTCTGCCAATCCTCTCCTAATGTGCTTCGTAACTGTGTGACTCTCTGTGTATGTCACGTATCCATAAATGAGTCAATCTCTGATCCACTGATATCTAAATTCACATATATCTTGGGAGAGCATGTTTTTTAAACAATTTTTTATCTATCTCTTATAAGTAGCAGCTGAATAAAAGTCGATTCAGGAGTGCTCTAGGGTCCCGCAGTGAACTGATCGTTAAGACACGGTTCCCAGCAGATCACCGAAGTCAAGCATCACTGGCTACGGTAAGTGTGCGGGTGGGTAACCACTTGGATCAGCCTGTGTAGGGACCGAGGGTGTGCGGCATTGGTCCTCGTTAAACAGTTCTACCGTAAAGTGCTCGACTTCGCGTGCAGGTCGTCGGGCTACCGAAGCGGGGGTGCCATCCCCTCTGCAGAGGATCAAAATTGTGATGGCATGTCTTCGGATCATCCTCAGGGATGTTTCAAAGACCGTCGCCAATAGCCCATTGTGCAGCTCTAGTGCGACGGAAATGAACAACAACAACAACTAAGGAGTGCTCCAGGTAACGCAAAAAAATGATTGTAGAAAAACGGTTCCCAGTAGAGCACTGAAGTCCAGCACCACTGGCTACGGTCAGTAAGCGAGTGGGTGACCACTTTGATCAGCTTGCATAGGGTTAAAGGTTGCATGGTATCGGTCCTCGTTAAGCTGTTCTACCCTGAAGTGCTCGACTTTGTGCGCGCATGTCGTCTGGCTACCAAAGCAGGGATCAAAATTGCGATGGCATGTTTTCGGATCATCCTCAAGGATGTTTCCCAGACCGTCACCAATATCCCATTGTGCAGCTGTTGTGAGACGTAAATAAAGTAACTACCTACATTATTGATCCAGGCTTTTTATTTCTTTCAATTTCAGCTGATGTTCGGTGTTGTCTTCTTTTGTAGCACTAATTTCACAAAGTGGCGTAAGTGAATAAAAGCTATATTTTCTAAGTAAAAATTAAAGCAGTTTTTGAAATGGAGCCTAAGCCATAACCGAAAAACCGACATCGTAAATTAGAAGAAAGCATATGGTTTTGCTGATTTCTATATTAAATGATCAATGTTGGGTCTCGTTTGTGAATGACAAGACAACGGCAGCTGTATGGAATAAACTCTACTCAATTTATGAGGCTAAGGTCTGTCAAATACTCACTCCAACGGACGATCCCAACTACAATGAAGAGGAACCGAAATGTTTCCATGAGACAAAACATTGATAATGTTAATAAACTTGTAAATGATCTTTGATGAAGTGAACAACTTTGTTCAGATTGTTTATCTATTGATGTCATTGCCACAAGAATAAAATGCTGCTTTTTTAAATTTCGATTTCTCAGGAACTATTTGACAAATTTCGTTCAAATTTTGTATTTTGCAGTTTAAAATTACATTCCTGAAAATGATGTAAACTATTTATTACCCTACAATTCAAACCTTTTTTAGCCTATTATTAAATAAAATAATATATAATCACTAAAAGTGATATTTTGCATGAAATTACCTAATTTTATAAGTGTGTTCGAAATTTCTCAATGCGCTTAAGAAATTTCGAGATATGGCGAAATATACAAAAAATAAAACTAACATTAAGGGAGTCCAAGCTTTGAACCGCTCGTCGAACAAACTATGGAGACCACATTTCCCAGACTGCGGCGGCATTTTGGGGTCAGAAAACTGAATCCGTAAAAGAAAGATATGTTTAGTCAGAGAAAGTACGTTTTTGTATCTAATTTCGTAACTTTATATATCGTCTGCATTTGTTAATTTGCATAATAAAGGTCACTCCCTCAAACCATTGAGATTGAGAACTAGAAAGTGAAGATCCGATCATTAGTTTAAAAGTAATTGGCTTTTCCCAGGTTGGATCCTTTCCTTCACACTGTACGTATATAGGTGTACGTAATATGTACTTTTCAACATGTATTGTATCTATTTGCGTACATAAATATATTGCGTGTGCATAGAATATGCATGGATACAGGCTCATAAATTGTACATACAGCATTGTACATCTATACATATGTGCTTGAAATTTATACATGTGTACTTATAAACAAATTGCAGCTTGTATTGGTATCAGAAAAAGAAATCTAGTTAAAAATTTTAGCAAAGTAGCTAGTCGAAAAGTTGTCAAAACTTTGATTAGATAAATTTTTCTCGTAACGTTCGGAAGCAATTGTAACTTGTACTGTCTCTATGCACATAGCAGCAATTAAAAATTGAACACACTAGTCGGAAAGCTGTTTGAATTGTGATTGACAATAAATTCCATTTTGTTAAAAATTATTATTACAACGGTTGGGAAATTATTGAAATTTCAATTATCAGAAGGCATAGAACTGCAGTCGAAATTTAACAAATTTAAGTAGTGGCGAAAGTTGTGTGGATGTTAATTATTATTTGGCGATAATAGGACGATAAATCTTGCTTGTTACTGTCAGGAAATAGTTGAAACTTACGTTTTTGTCAAGATGAAAGGTGGTGTTGCAATTTTAATTCACGTTTTAGTTTTAAATTAGATGGATAAAAAATTGGTTGGAATTTTAAATGATGATAAATTTCAACTCGCAATAATATGACTATGAATTCTGTTTTTACAGCAATAAGAAAATATTGAAACTTGTAGCAACACCCATCATAAAGCTTTAACTAAAATTGAGTAGTTCTAGCTAATTTAAAAGTGTTGATAGTCACAGTTTGACGAACAGTGACATATCGGCGATATCAACCTATCAACGATAAATATCGTACTTCATTCTGCTAGTAGTACCCAAAAAATGATGAGAACCTATAAAATCATCCAGGACAGAACTCCCTCAGTTGTATTTTAGGTACTCTAGCTAAACTTAAAATGTTCGAAATTTCCATTGACGATTAACTCAATATTTCGTTAAAAGGACGATAAATTCTATTTTTAACGATTAAAAAATGATTGTAACTTGTAATGTTATCCAACATAGAATTGCGATTAAAACTGTAGAGTTCTAGCTAATTTTAAAGTGGCTGTAATTTTGAATAGTGATAAATTCCTTTCGACGATAATATCGTGACAAATTCTTTAAGTAACAGGAAAAAAAAAGATAGGAATTTGTATAGCTATCCCCTTCAGAGCTTTAGTTAGATTTTTAGCACTCAAGTTAGATTTAAAATGTTTGGAAATTCGATAAACGATAAACTAAATTTTGCGATAAAATGGCGACAAATGTTGCTGCATTCATGATGAAACAAATTAAACTTGTATTGTGTCCGAAATGGAGCAATCTTACTAATCGGAGAGAATTTGAAATTTTGATAGTAAGATTTTATTGTTACAAACACAAAAGCAATTGAATAAAAACGTTACAGAAATGCACTGTCGCATTTAGGTACCTTGAGTGCAGCATTGAGTGCACCTTAAATTCGATAAAAATTCCCTAAATTCTACAGTGAAATATCTTTGTTTAGGTTTCAGACGATAATTCAATTTCTGCAATAAAAATTTGTTTAGAGCTGATGTCTCAATATCTCAGCCATTTTTGGGGGGGAAATGAAATAAAAGGTCGAGTTTGACGTAAATGTCACAAACTTATAAGAAATCGTGTTGCCTTTAAGCACACTGACCTTATTATAAATGGGACGCCTTATAATAAATGTGATGCGGTGAAGTATGCTGTCAATTTTTCAGGGGGTGCTATGAAATATTCTGGGAAATTTTTTCCCCAGTTAATAAAAACCACCCTAGTATGCACAGAAACTTTTACTAAATAAATAGCAATCTGTAATAAATGTCAAAAATTTGTCCGAGCTGAGAAGAAAATAGTATTCTAACAAATATTTTGCAATATTTTTTTTTAAAAAAAATGTGTTTTTTCGTCTTTTGTTTTTAATCTTGAATATTCTTGCAAGCTAGTGCATGACTTTTTTCTATTAATATTTTATACTTCATTATTTATTAATTTTTTTACTCTTTCATGCGAATGGCAAAGCGGTATTCCTTACATGTTCATTTTTTTAGCGCTTTAATTACAAACAAAGTTATTTTTTTAATAATTTTTAATCTTGAATGTTCTTGCAAGCTAGTGCATGACTTTTTTCTATTAATATTTTATACTTTATTATTTATCAATTTTTTTACTCTTTCATGCGAATGGGAAAGCGGCATTCCTTACATGTTCATTTATTCTAGCGCTTTAATTACAAGCAAAATTATTTTTTTAATAACTTTTAATCTTGAATATTCTTGCAAGCTAGTGCATGACTTTTTTCTATTAATATTTTATACTTCATTATTTATTCATTTTTTACTCTTTCATGCGAATGGGAAAGCCGCATTCCTTATATGTTAATTTTTCTAGTGCTTTAATTACGAGCAAAATTATTTTTTTTAATTATTTTTAATTGTTTTTTATCTTGAATTTTCTATTAATATTTTATACTTCATTATTTATTAATTCTTTTAGTCTTTGATGCGAATGGGAAAGCGGTATTTCAAACATGTTCATTTTTTCTAGCGCTTTAATTACAAGCAAAATTATTTTTTTAATTATTTTTTAATTGTTTTTAATCTTGAATATTCTTGCAAGCTAGTGCATGACTTTTTTCTATTAATATTCTATACTTTATTATTTATGAATTTTTTTACTCTTTGATGCGAATGGGAAAGCGGTATTCCTTACATGTTCATTTTTTCTAGCGCTTTCATTACAAGCAAAATTATTTTTTTAAATTACTTTTAATTGTTTTTAATCTTGAATATTCTTGCAAGCTAGTGCATGAATAGTTTTGCTAGAATGAGCTTTTTTCTATTAATATTTTATACTTCATTATTTATTAATTTTTTAACTCTTTAATGCGAATGGGAAACCGGTATTCCTTATATGTTCATTTTTTCTAGCGCTTTAATTACAAGCAAAATTATTTTTTTAATTACAATAAGCAGTCAAATAATTTTCGAAAAAAGTCTGTTTGGTTATCGGAATCATATTTGTACCTAAATATAAAATCCAAAAAAAATTTCGAAAAAAAGATTGTTTCATTCATATTAAAAAATTTATCAATAAATAGTTTTGTAAATTAAAAAAGTTTCAATCATAAATAACTGTTATTCTCAGATCTATATAACTGCAAATTAATACAAAAAAATTAAAAAATATATATTTAATTAAAATTTTGCTTCAAAAGTATGAGATCATCAATTCTTTATTAATTTTCATGCAATTAAAAGTCATTATTTGATATTTTATGCTGACCCGCATTCCTGTATTCATTGTACTCTGAAAAAAACAGCAAATTAAGAACGCGTCCTCTTGTTGGTTTATAACAGTGGTTACCAACTGATTGCCCGCGGGCCACACCCGCCCAGCGAAGCCTTTTTTTGTGGCCCACGAACTAAAATATATTAGTTGTCATTTTTTTGCTAACAATTTTCATAAAAAATCTATATGGCTTTAAAGTACTTTTCTTCGTTAAAAAAAAACCGAATTTCTTCGTTTCTGTGAAATTTAACATACCAACGGAGCAAAAAATTTATTTCTCAGGTTGAAATCTACTTCTTATTTCAATTTGTAATTCAATACTTTTGCTTTGCACAACTTGATAAAAATCTGACAATAATATTAAATGTTCCTTCAAACATAAAAGAGTTCTATGCTTTGCTGTTTAACTGTCTTAAATAGCTTGAAAGCCTTTGCCCTAACAAATTAAACAAAATTCTGTTTTTCGAAGAAAATATTTGATGAGTTTTATACAGGCGCGATGATTGTTCAGAGAAACCACCTATTATTCCTCACTTTCCTGAGATCAAAAGAAAAAACTATAATAAATTATATTTGTTTGATTTACAGATTTAACTCATCATCCATTTGTGAAGATGCGAGATTTATTGAAAGATGTCATTTACCGGAATTTATGTGAATGTTTTTCTCAAAGATATTGCGAAGACGGTGGACTTTCGGACGATCGTACTGTAAGTACCAAGATTTCCGTTTCAAAAGATGCACGTTATATATATATATCTATTAATATTTTATA